CCCTGGCCGCTCCGGCGCGTGGCCGCCCTTCCCTGCCCCCCTCCCGCCCCGCCATTCGCCGCGCGGCGCCCGGGGGATTTTTTCCTCCCCGAATTGAGGCCTTGTCCTGGTGACCTGCCGCGTCCGTGGCCTGGTGCAGCGGGGGCGAGCTTTATCTCCGTGTCTTCGCCCGACCTAGCCTGCTCTCCCTTTTCCTTTTTTTTTCCCCTTTTCCCTTCATTCTTAATGTTTTGGACATTAAGAATGGTCCAGGTTGAGACCACAGAGCTTGCAGTTCCTCAGTTCTGTAATCCATGATGTTTCTATTCTATTTGAAGTCGAGAAAACCAGCTATGGGCACATGGTTAAGTGGCCCTTACTCCTCAGGCGTTTCTTTTTGGGTATTGAAAGTGAAGTACAACGAAAGTTGGAGTTACTGCATTAGCTATAATTCTGAATGCATAGGGTTTATATAAAGATTAGCCCCATTTCTCTGTTGTGCTTACTTCATAGTCTAAAAACATTTTTGTATTAGTCATGGTGCAGATAAGGCGAGCTTAGCTGAGTAAGTTTATGCTGGAGAAAATATAGAGTACATGAACACAGAAGAAAAAAACAGTTATGCTGAGACTTGTGTAACCACCTTGCAGTGTCTTCATAGATAAGTTCTGCTACTCTTTGTTATAACAATGAAAAATTCCCAGAACCTTAGCTATGAAGTTGGCTAGGCTTTTATTTTTTTATTTTTTATTTTTTCCCTCTGGGAAGATGGGAGGGTGTTTATACTTTCCACTTTCATTCTTGTTTATTTTGTTTTAACTATGTAAATACCAAATGCTTAATAATAATATTTCAAACTTGGGCTTCTAGTAAGTTAATTGGACTATTACTTCAAATTTGAAGAGCTTAACGATGGTATTTTTCTTACTGGAGAGTTTCATAATAAATTTTAATAATACTAATTTAATATATTTACACTGTTTTAAAATATTACTTTTTTCAGCACAAACACTAATTGGCATCCATAGTGATAAAGAATTATTTTAATGAGAAAAAGTTTTCTTTCTAATCCTGTATTGATTCTAGTGTTTGTGCATCTGTGGATTGGTTGACTTTGTATCACAAGGCTTTAAAGTAAGCATTGCAGTGCTAGCAACTTTTTACTGTGACTTAGGTTTACTGACTATTTAATGTTCAAGATTTTTAAAAATTTAGAAAGTTCTTTCTTCTCCATAATGCTTTTTGATGTTAACCTTCTGACTGAAGGTTTTAACAACCTATATGTAATATCTGTTGTCACTGCCACAACTTTCAGAATGTCGAGTGAAATACATACTAGATCCACCTAGTCTTTTGGGGGAACCTTTAGACTTTTTTTTTTTTTTTTTTTGGGTGGTTTCTTCAGGCGACAGGCCTACTCAGAGCTCATCTTCTACCCAACTAGAGATGAGCATCATCACTGTTTACTTCAAAGCATTATTTCAGAAATCTCAGGAAGCAGTTCTGTGTCTCAAGTGTAGCAGTTCTCATGCTGCTGGGTGTGTGTATTTTAGCACAAATGGCACAAACTATAAAAACACCTTTTTTTTTTATATATAAACACAGCATTTAAGCAGCAAGAGTATGAGCTCAGGCTCTGGTGATGCTGGTAGCTGGCATTTCTAAAAGCCTTCAATAAAAATATAAATACTCTTGGAATTCGTATGAATGTTTACTGAGAATGGTACCCTCTGCTGGAGAGGTAGCAGCTGCTTAAAGGAGAAGTCTTTACCTTTTAAATGTTTGAAAAACTTGCTGGAAAAAACTTGCTGGAAATGTAGGTAGATGTTCCCTCTAATACAGAAATATATTCCACTGAACTGTTAGGTGAAGAGCACTTGTTCCTGTGCATTGCCTGTTTTTCTTGTGAATTTATGAAGCTCTTTTTAATCTACTTTGGACCTTCTGACCCATCATGTAGATAAATGACAATAAGCATATGTTTCTTGTTAAACTGTTAATATTATGCAGCTTGTCAGCTGAACTTCTCTATCTGCTGAAATCACTTTAGGACTTTGTCAAAGGACTTTATCAAAAGTGGAAGAATACATAGAGTCAGATATCTGAAATATTAAAACTGTCGTAAGGGCTATGAAAGTTTAAGAGTTGTTAGTATCAATAATTGCTATTTTAGATTTTTGGAGTGGTGGTAATAAAGTTTATCAAACTTTACTGTGGGCAGTTATTTTTGCTTGCATTTGGGATGTAAAATTTGTTCTGTTTAATTGTTTTGAGCAAATTCAAAAATCATTGTTTTGTTGATGATTGGTAATTTGCATGTCAGAGGGAAGGTGAGAGTGGACATGGGACTGTGAGTGAATTAAGTGCAAGTTTCTGAACAGAGCGATCTCACTCTTTTTAGGCTACATTTTGGAAGGAATTAAATTTATTCATCACTTTGCAAAAGGACTGAGCCTGTTTCAGAAGATTTGCAGACTTCAGTAGAAGTTTCTGCTATTTAAACTTGAACAGCTTATGGGACTGTTGTTTGCAAGAGTGTTGTGAATGAAGTGTAGACAGACTGTTTTTGCTTTTCTGTTGTGCAAAAATTGTCCAAAACTGAAAGAACAGAGATCTCGAGAATGAGTTAAAAGGTTAATGGAATCTGAAAATTCTTTCCTCCATTATAGTTAAGAAGCTCTTCTCTAGTTGTCCGTTATTACTTAAATAGGTGTGTTCAAATCTTTTTCATATACCTTTAATATCTAACTCTCAAAGCTTCTTCATAGATAATCTGAATGGTTTAGTAGTTTTCTGCTAAAGATTCAAACTTTTAGTTCAGGAAGAACACCTGGATTATCCTAAC